TAATCGAAACAACACAAAAATCCTAAGCGAAACAAAACTACCTTTGATTGTACAAGTTTCGGTATATGAATACAAAAATTAACAAGATAACATACCTCTTTCCCCGTTCTATTATTCAAATATTTCGACAATCCTTCGATCTATCTTCTCTTCTGAATACACTTGAAAATCACATGTGTCTCGAGGCCGAATGAAACATAATGCCGACAGTTCGAAAGTATGTCACGCAAAACAAATGGGTATTGAAAGTCACGCAAATAACTAAAAATAGCCATCGTTACAACATTTTTCCTCATTAGTTATTTTATGGGTGCTCACGTGCGGGCAGTACTTGATGTTTTCGCTGGAGATGTTTTCGCGGGAGATAACAGGGAGAATTTAAGTTGTGAACACTTTAAACAGCTTTAATCACCTCTTTAAATCTTAGTGCATAAAATGTAATTATGCCTCGTGGTTTTCCCTTTCGTTTTGCATTCCTTGACTTTCTATTTTCACGAATATTAAAAAAGAGCACTGTAGCTTTTTATTATCTGACAAGGCGCTAAACCATCTGGACTGTTTAAAAATAAAGCTGTCAGACAAAAATGAAGATTAAGTTTACGCCACAGATAAACAATCTAATGTTACAGACGAGCTTTTCGATCTTGATTTGTCACCATCGGCTGCTTGTGACGGACTTTGTTCTGTTTTCTCAGAAATGTAACTCAATCCCTTTAGGCGTCAGGTGTTTATTTTATTCGATGGCGTCGTTTCGTTTTTGTCGATCCTAATGGAGTCTCTTTTGAAAAACATCAAGCAGCAAGTTACTTGCTGCATTTGTCTGGATACCTTTAATGAACCTAAAATTATATCGTGTTTCCACACGTTCTGCTGCGAGTGTTTGGAGAAACATGCAAGAGTGAGCCAGAAAGAAGGAAAATTTCGATGCCCCGAGTGTCAGGCAGCGATCGATTTACCAGAAGGAAATCGCTTCGACCGTTTGCCCAACAGCTTTTTCCATAAAAGTTTGTTGAGTCTTCTTGCCGTTCGACAAAGTGGTGATGCAAGTAGCATTACTTGTTCTCAGTGCCGGAAAACCAACCCTCAGATGTACTATTGCTTCGATTGCGGGCGATTCATGTGCCTTGATTGTTTCAATGCGCATCAATTGCTGAAAGCATCTTTTGATGGGCACAAAGTCACGCCAGTTAAAGACTTGAAAGAAGAAGATTACGAAGCAGTCCTAAAGCGACAGCCGTTTTGTTCACAAGAGTTCCACGAGAGAGAAGTCACACGATTTTTTTGCTTGGAGTGTCAAGTTTGCATTTGCCAAATTTGCATAGTTACGGATCATCAAAACCACAAAGTTGTTCTGCTCGACAAAGCAGCTCTCGAAGAAAAGGATAACATCATGTGTGGTGCTAAATTGATGAGGAACAAGGAAAGTGAGCTTTGTGAAGTCATCAAGCAGTTTGAGGAAACAATTTCGACGCTGGAAAGGAACGTTGCAACAGCTAAGCGAGAGGTCTCGCGAGTAGCCGAAGAAGTTATCGCAGAGATTCGAGAGCGCGAGCGAGAAGCAATCGAGTCCCTCGTGACAACACATGTGTCAATACTTAAGCGGATCAACGCGGCTAAACAGGAAGTGGAATCCCTGATAAAACAAATGAAGCAAGCGGCTGAGTTTGCAGAAAATCTGGTTCAGAATAGGTCGACTTCGGATGTTATGCAGAACAAGGAAACTTTGAAGCAGAAATTTGAAGAGCTTCGTGGAGTTGAAGTTCCAAAACATCAACAAACGACATTCGTAAAATTTTCTGTGGCACCTCGTTTGGTGGACTGGAAACTGGGTGTTATTGAGGTCACTCCGACAGCAGATGCAAAGCAATCAAGACTTGAAGGACTAGATCAAAGTTTTCAGGCTGGTGTTGAAGCGGAGTTAACCTTATGCGCTAAAACATCCGAAGGGGAAACGATAAACCAGGGTGATCTCAAAGATCAAGTGGAATTTCTCATAAAACCCGCGAAAGATGTTAATAATGTGTTTGTTAACAAGAGAGAGAACGGCAGTCCTCAGCTAAAGTTTACACCCAAATTTCCCGACTCCTACAGCATTGAAGTAAGGATTAACGGCGATAAACTTCCGACCTGCCCTTATACGTTAAATGTGAAAGAACGTGAACTTGTTAACGTGGGCGAGTTGAACTTGAAGCTCTATCCAAGAGACATGCTTGGACTTTTGAGTGGAATTGCTGTTAATAAGAAAGGTGAATTAGCTATGGTAGATACCAGTAGCCACCTTGTTTATGTATTTGATAACGATGGAAACTGTGTTAGAAAACTTGGAAGCGAAGGAAAAAAACCAGGACAATTTAAGCAACCAAAAAGCGTGTCGTATTTAAATGAAAAAGAGATTCTTGTAGCAGATTTTGAAAATGATAGAATACAACACATCGATTACCAAACAGGGACTTTCGTGAAAAGTTTTGGACAAAGCGGTTCAAGAAAAGGAGAGTTAAATGGTCCATATGATGTTCGTTTGGATGATGAAGAGCGCATTGTTGTAACTGATTGGGGCAATCATAGAATACAGGTGATGTCAAAAGAGGGAGAATCTATTTTTACATTTGGAGACAGAGGCCCGGAGAAACTCCGCTATCCAACCTGCTGCATTCCTTACAAAAAAATATTTCTCGTATGTGATGGAGTCAATCACTGCATAAAGGCTTTTGATCAGTCAGGAACATTCTTATATAAGTTTGGCAAGAAAGGGAATCAAGATGGAGAACTGAGTTGGTCGAAGTATCTGCTTGTAGACAGCTTCAATAATCTTTTTGTATGTGACACTGGCAATAACCGGGTACAGCAGTTTTCTCTAGACGGTCGCTTCACAGGCAAAAGTATCACTCATTTGCCATGCCCTTGTGGAATTGTAGCAACACCAGATGGACGTATTCTCGTGGCAAGTGAGCGGGATAAAAAAGTATTCATTTTGAAGTAAATATGTTTCAGTCCCGTCTGCTTTTACGGCATACAGGTGGTTTATACGATTTATCTTTTACCAAAACGGTGGATTACAATTTGACTTTTTCCCGTTTCTATAAAAGGGATTAAATTTCGTAAAAAAGATACCAAACTGTTTGCTCTTATACAAGCTTACAAATTGCAAAACGAAATACTTAGAGGAATACTTGTAAGGTATCTTTAGTTTATCATGTAGTCATTTTTTTGTCTTGTCACGCATCATACGTTTTTCAAGAAGACAACGCCGTACTTGACAAGACTCGACAACTCAAGGAGACAAGTAAGCAGCATATTAAAATGTTGTGTTACTGAAAAGTAAAGCATCTGTCGCGTGTTGTAGTGACAGGAGCTGCTCTCAGTCAAGGCTAAATCTTCCTCGCAGTT